ACGTTTAACCTCTTCTTTTACAAGCCTTGCCTGTGTCAGCAGCATATCCCTTGCAACCACACAGAGCCTTTTCACATAGCACCCTCACCCCAACTTCACAATGTCACCGATAAATTAAATAAATTTAGTGTCACCAATAAATATTGGCGGCTCTGGCTGCTCAGGGATTTTGCTTGCTTCAAGCCTTTGCTTGTTCAAGCACTTGTCATCCAGTTCCATTTCAGTCTCTAATTCTGTTTCTGGTCTTTCTTCTTGTCATGCATCCTAGCACTGAGCAGGAGATCTGGATCTGCTGCAGGGATCTGGTATGTTTAGGCTATATATAAAAGAAAATATGCACACAAAAAGAAACCGCAACACTAAAAGGGATGAAAGGCCAGAGAGAAAAGACTGGAATGAAACAATTTCTACTCTGCCACCCCATATCAACTCTTTCCCTGCTAAAGGACACTGCCCTAGGACTTCCTATCTACACACACCAGGAAGAACTGCTATGCTTTTCCATTGTTCCCTCCATTGCTCATGGGCTGTCTGAAAAAGAGCTGCTGGCACAACTGCACCTTGAAATCTGCTATGTGAAGGTCAAGCTAAGTACAATCTGTCTATCTCCACCCAGCAGCCACTCCTCAGTCTGCAACCAGGCATCAGAAACAGATCAAAGATCAGGTTCTAATGTACCTTTTCCCTGCATCCCCTTCCAGATTGGTTTTGGAACTTTTCTATTGCACCTCTTGACATCTTAGAGGGTTTCCAGCTATCAAGAGCAGTCCATCATCCAATCCAAATAAACCAGAAAAGGGGTAAGAGTTAAAGTATCTGATCTTTTAGGTGTATGAATTTATCAGAACATTTTCTTGCAGTGATGACAAGGAAGAGGAAGATCCTGTCCTTTTGAGAGAGGGAATAACTAAAGGGGACAGAGGGAAGGTGAGAAAAGAAGATTTTTTTCCTTATTCATGATATTATACAAATGAATGCCATTAGAGATCAAAGGTACTGAAAGGCCAGTTCAGATACAAACAGAATTCAGGAGTCCCCATCCCCTTAAGAAAGCATTGAAAGAGATAACCACAGAAGGTGAACACTTGGGACAGTGTGGGACCAAAGGGACAAAGCTGTGAGCACAGCAAGTACTCACGTTGACTGTGCAGTGAAAACAATCTCACCATCGCAGAATGTGCTTGCCTGTTAAATACCTCCCAAGGGAAGAGTGCAAATACTATTCATTTGCAGCTCAGTGGGATAAAAAAAAAAAAAGAGGAAAAAACACCAGAAAAATTTCTTCCCCTGTGACTGCAACTCTGCTCAAACAGAGACTAAGAAGGATGAAGGAGAAAATTTTAGGATACTTAGGTCACTTGTGGGATCTTTCTGCTAATCCTCATTTCTGAAGCAATTCAGGTGATGAATGGGCAGCATTAGTCAGGCCTGCACCAGTCAGGTCACACAGCAACCAGGTGTCAAGAATAGACGAGTCACACATAAACAGGGAGTGTTTGAATCAGTTGCCCCTTTCCCTGGGACACAGGATTGATGACTAAATCATTCCATGGTGCAAGGCTCCTAGGTCATCTCTGTTGATGAGGTGAGAACACCTGGAATTCACACAGAAAATTTTATCTCTAGATGAAGCTTGTATTCTGGGTGCTAATGACTGTTATGTCCCTCTCTATCCCACAAACACTAATGATAACTACAACTAACGATAACTACCACTCTTCACATTTCTCACTGCGCTTCTACAATCATTCCAACTATCACCACTGTAGCTGAGAAAACAGACAGGACACATGGACATGGCCACTTCCTTCTGCACCCTTGCCAGAGTCTCTCCTGGAACACAGTGTTCTTCCCTGTGAGTCCCCCTGCAAGTCCCCCTGACCAAAGGTGACATGGGAGAAGGACACTCACAGGATCCACTCGAGACACCTGCGAATGTCCAGTTATGGGCAGCAGCACGTGGACAGCACGTCTTCTGAACCATGTGTCTGCTGTACTTATCTGCATGCCCCACGATAAAGGTCTCCTTAGCATCACTCTCACCTCACTGTTTCCGTCCAGCAGTGGTGTCCCACCGCGCCCAAAGCCACTTCACTCTGCCCCATCTCTCCTGAAATTTCAGAAATCTTATCGTTTTGCATTGCTTTTACTTCTTCATAAGGATAATGACCTAATGAAGAGTAGAGAACAATTACGTTAGGCCGAGGTGTGGATTCCTGGCAGTAAATTTGACTCACTCAGGAGTGACCATGAAGTAGGCACACAGCCCCACCATGCATGGGATTCACGTTTGTGCCCTGGCAAACTAACAAGTGATTTATGTGTCATTTTCTTAAGGATTGCTAATAAACATGGTACTTAAAGTCTAAAGTAATTGAAAGCACTTAATTCGGAGTACTCAAAAATTTACAATTGACAAATCATAAATGTGAAGTGGGGAAGTGAAATTGCCAAATGCCCATTTGATCAAGCTTTATACTTCCAGCAACTTCATTTACATGAAAGAAAAACATTGTTCCCTTGATGTGAACAAGAAAATACAGGTTAAATAAGGCTCAGTGAGGCTAAAGTTAGATCCATGCCCAGACAAATGTGCATTTTGAATTTTCTCAAGGAGGTAAAACGTTAGTATTTTCACCCCTAATATATAAACCATAGCTCTTCAGCCCAAGCAATTTAGAGTTTTAGACAACCTTGGATTCTGTCTTTGGGAAAAAATAGACTGTACAAAACGAGCTCTTCCTCTGTGACTCCTATGACACCTAAAAGAATAATCACAGCAATTACACATCAGAAACAGAGAAGTGATAATTACAAAAATGGAATGTTCAGCTACCACTTGGCTGGCCCACACGGGCACTGACTTTTATATTTCCCCATGGGAGCATATATGAAAGAAGCAGTGTGGAGGAGAAATGAAATACAATTATCAGGACCTGGGGATTTATTCTTCCCGGTACACAAAGGAAAGAAGTGGGAGGGACAGCAGCTGAAGCAGTCTCATCTTGTTCTTTGCAAAAGATAGGAAAATGCTGCCCTTCATCCACTTAATTTAATTTCTCAGAAACAATGACAGGGCTCATGCAGTCTACTATGCTTTCGTTCTCCATCAACTTGACTTCCTAGTTGGCCAACTGCCTTACTGTCCCAAGGAGTTCCTTTTCCTTCTAAAAAATCCCCTCTCTCCCTCCTTGCTTCTTTCCCTCTCTTCTTCTGAGCAATGGCACACTGAATGGACCAACTGGACCATTACAGCGGAACAAAGACTATCATCGTATGGTTGGAGCGTCAGAGAAACAAATTTCCGTTTTCTGCCTATGTCTTTTGAAAATTTTAAGAGTTCCAAACACAGACCAAATGACAGCTATAAGAAGAGCTTCAGATGAGACAGTAGTTGGTCTTCGAAAGAGACAAAAGTCCCGGGGACCGACCAGGTGTTGATTTGAGAGCAGTACCCCCAATTCCCTCTCCTCTCTCCTCCTCCACTCTTCACCGTGTATCATGAAACAGCGGGTTCTCACAGCATGGTTAGGCAATCGCCACTTGTAATTCTGGATGTCGCTTTGTGGATGCAGAGGGAACCAGGCCACTGCTTACAAAGATGCTGGTGTGACTGAGTATTTACAAGATGTTTGTCACCTCTACCCCACCCTCACACACAACCCAGTGTTGGATAAGGCATACATTGCTACACAAGACTTCTGAGGGCACTGAAACAAGAGATTGCAAAAGAGATAGGAATAGGTTAAATGAAGCATATAGTTACGTATACTGTATGCTTTGGTATGCCCCCTCATTTCTGATCCTTTGCTTCTCCTCTCTGCTGCAATGAAAGCAAGGTAAAAATAGGAAGCATTTTCAAAGGATTCCGAGAAAGTCATAGGGCAACTTTATAATCAACTTGTTACAACCAAGGTGCAACATTATGCATGTATAAAGGGACAGTGATTAATAAAATACACTTCTAATCAGGACAGCTAATTTTCCATTTGAAATGTGGCTTAACACTGAACTACATACCTAGTCCTTTTAATCTTTTATTTTTATTAGTACACATCTCAGGTGTATAATAATTACATTCATTTTCAGGAGTTTGTACAAATACATCACACATGGTTTTGTTTTTCTTTTTGTTTGTTGTTTGTTTTTTGTACCAGGGATTGAACTCAGGACTTTGTGCTTGCAATGTAGGTGCAGCGCCACTGAGCTAAATCCCCGGTCGTATAACACAACTTAATTAATTTTATGTTCTCTATCCGCCTCACTACCCCCTATTTTGTGACAGGGTATCACTGTCACTAGTGATCCTCCTGCCTCAGCCTCCCAGAGTGCTAGGATTACAGGCATGTGCCACACACCTGGCTTGGATTCCTTCTTATAAAGAGTTTCCTTGAAGCACATACTAGAGAGGAAATTCTGAAGGGGCCAGGTGTGATAGGAGAAAAGGCTAACACCCGTGTGACATGAGTTGGAATCCGTGGTGCGGGCTCGACAGGCTTCCCTCACAGCCTCCTCAGAGCCGTCAGTAACTGATGTGAACCCCCAGCCTCCACGAATGTCAAACTGGATCATTCTGACCTACATTTATCTGCCCACAGAAGGTCCCATGATAGGAGAAGTTTATTATTCTTCAGAGTACATTTTGGGAAATACAGTTTCCGGTTCAGGTACATAAAATATGTACTTTTCAAAAGGAGGGGAGCTTGGAATGAGCAGGCAGCTAAGCCCACCCGGTCAGGACCCTGCTGTAACGCACAAGAACAACCAAGGAATTGTGTTTAAATACATGTCCCAGCTCCATAAATATCAAGGCGACCGAGATCCCGCATTGCTAACAATTCCTAGCAGCAGGTGGTGGTGTTGCTTCTCCACGAAGTACTTTTTGAGTGGCAAAGGGTGAGACACATAGGTCTCCAGGTGCTGAGACTGCTGGGCTGTCAGGCGCTCTGCTGTGTGACAGTCCCTTGTCCCAGCGGGTAATGAGAGTGAGGAGGACTTACCAGTAAAACCGGTTAGGTGTGATGCGCTCCTGCATGAGTTGCCACCTTCTTCCGAAGTCCATGGAACTGTAGAGCTGCAAAACAAGCAAGTGGGGAGAGAATGAGCCACTGCTGACCGTGAGGACAGGTGTCTTCCCGGGGCCATCAGACACACGACTGCCAGCACGTCCAAGGGGGCACCCGGTTTACCCAGATGAAAACATGAGAATATGACTGTGCCATGCTCATCTCAACCACGAAGGTGCTCACTCACTGCTTCTGAGCCAAGGACAGATCAGTTCCCATAGCCGTCACTATCTCCTGTAGGGGAAAATGCTTCAGCAAAACTGTGCACTGTTTTCCCGTCAAGCCCTATGCAGTCTTCAGGTACACTTTAGACAACGCAGCAGCACTGACTTCAGAGCTATGTACTGAACAACTGCTTCAGGCAAGGCACTCTGAGGGACATAGAGACAAGGAAGAGCAGATTCTGCGCTCCTAGGAAGAGTGGGACTCACATGTATATATGCGTGCGAAGAGGCAAAAACGCTCATCAGCTGATGTGGAAGTCAACACCGTGTGCAAAGTATGATCTTTCCCTTTTTTCTCCTACTGCATTGATATAGTATGGATAATCAGAAATGGAACCCCTCAGTGCCACCAGAGATACCAGACTTATTTATATGCTTCCATCTTTGTGGGATGGCAAGGACAGGCCCTCTTCTAAATAAAGTTTACATCTAGCCAAGGCCAGCACAAATGCGGCTTCCTCCACAAAACGCCTGTTCTAACTACTTCAGACCACACATCTCTTCTTTCTCATCTTTTGTTTCTACAGAGCACTCATCATGCTGTACTATACGGTCACCTCGTTCATATTTGTTTGTTATTTAGCTGTGTTCTCATTCCTTGAATATATAAAGACTGTTCATGAAATATCTGTTGCTTAAGTCAGTAACACAGGCAGGTCCTAACGGATAGCAATGCATGAAATAAGAACAAAGTCCAGATGGTCCTCAGAATTTGGCAAAACAAAAGCAGATCGCCTGCATGGATGACGGAGTCAGATCCCATGTTCTCATTTCATGGATGTAGAGTCTCACCCAATATAAAACACTAGGGATAGGCCAGCCACCTATAAGAGACTAACGAGGAGATACTTTCAGTTAAATCAGTGAAATACAATATCTGACTCTGGCTGGCAATGGGACGATGATAGTATTAATGCCACACATCGCCTTTCCACACATATTTGAGTTGGTCACTCTATTTACGATGTCACCACCACATTTGTTGTCTGCTACAAGGTATCACTGGTCGGCGTACCTTCCCCACTGGGTGGATGAGTTCCAAGAGAGGAAGGGATCACGCTGTATTAACTGGTGTGTCAGTGGTTAAATGATGTTATCACATAACACCTCCTATTTCATAAAACTCAATCTGAAAGGAATTACAATTTTGGGCAAAGACAGTAGGGTTTCAGATTTCTAATGCCTGGCTCAAGACTCTTTCCACACCTTTGTTGCCTAATTTATCATGATAATTTCACCACATTTATGTTTTTCCTCCACAAAGGTTCACAGGTAGAAGCAGTTGCCCTTGGCTTTATAGAAATGAGGTCAGGTGAAGTATATTCCTGAAATAACATCCCCAGCAGCTCTCACCTGTAGGGCCATGCTCTCTCCAGCATACCACACTCAGGTAACTTGGCCATCCGTAAAGTTCTAAGTACACAACCTTACAAGTTATGAAATACTTTTTTGTATGAACCTAAAGATTTATGAGGCTCAGGAAATTTCTGGGCCATTTCAGTTTAATCTAGCAAATATTTCTTAAACATGGCACTATAAAAATATTTTTGTCTAGCAAATAAAAGATATATCTCCTAAAAGGTAGGTATAATCTAAAAGGTACTCAAGGATGTGTATTAGTATATCCATTTATAGAGAAAGGTATGAACACTTGGTTCATATTGCAACTATTTGGAAAACCATGAGGTTGATCCTGATTTAGCTCTTCACAAGTTTCTATCATCCTACATCAACTCACCATCAATTCTCACAATATTTATGCAAACTCCAAGGATAAACTCTAGCTCCTATGTCTATCCAATCTTGTACATGGGAAAAATAGGTTATAGTCTCCATTCTTCCCTAGCCAATTTTATTCAGCAACTTAATAAAGCAATATTGACTCTAAAACCACTGCAGTACGGATCATACAAGACCACATATAATTATTTTATTTTTAATTGAATAATCATTGAATGTGTTATACATTTAGGGGATCGTTTTGTGACATTTTGATATGTTTACATTTGTGTAGGATGGAATGCTCATACATGCCAATTAGCAAATTCATCACCTCACATACAATTTCTGGAAACAACACATTTAAAATCTAGTCTTTTTAGAAATTTAAAAATACACAATGCATTTATTTTAGTCACCATTTTTGCAATGGATCATTACGAGTTTATTTCTCCTGTCTAATTGAGATATATGCATTGATCAACATCTCCCTTTCACCCCGATATCCCCAACCATCCACCTCTGGTAATCTACTCTCAATTTTAGATTTCATATATAAGTGAGATTATGTGGTATTTACCTTTCTGTATTTCATATTCAATTGTTTAGGAAGAAAAAAGTGTAACCTGTCCCTGATTCCAAGTACGTATACAGGTGTACAACATCAAAGGGGAAATCAGGGCAGGAACAGAAACTCTAGAAGGTAAAGAACAGAAAGATGGACGGGGTAGACATACAACAGCCAGGTTTCCTGAAGACATGTGTCTCCAGCTTTAGAGATGCTGTGTGCAGAAGAGACACCCAAGGGAGATTCGCTGTGTAAAAGTGAAGGGCGGATGTGCAGATGAGGCCACTGTCCCAAGCCTGGTTTGTGAGAGAGCATTTAGAAAAAACAAAGGAGATGAAGGCTGTTGATGGCCAAAAGAGGTAGGAACTATGTGTCTGTTCATTTATCTTCCTGCTTCTCTTTCTATTCATCCACCCCTCTATTTGTACATGAAAGGCATCTGGAGCAGACCATGGCCCTGAGAAGAATGTATCTGTATATTTTAATTCAAGAACTGAATTTTCCAGGTAGAGCTTAGCAAATGGTTCCTTTCCCTTCTCCATGGCAGGTGTCTGGGGAAAGCTGCTTAGATTTAAGACACGTGTTTCCCAATTAAAGGTGAGAGACACTATGGAAACTTCTATAACCTAAATATCAAACTCTGTCAGCCTTGATTTTAATCACAGCAAACATAACCCCCAATTCCTTCCAATAAAACCCAGCACGACTGCATTTTCTCTAGAGACAGGCCAGGCAAGAATTATGAGCGTCATTCTGACAATTCTGAGTTTCCATCCTCCAGGGGAAAGATCAGTTCGTCCAGCATGGAGGGTCCCGCTGGCTGGAAAGTGTTTCCTGGGGTCCACACTTGGAAGAAGCCTGGCTCCCTCACCTATGTTCTTCCTAAGACAAAGCACGAGCAGTGCCGATCTCCTCCCCAAGCCTGCCTCACCTACTTTTGCTTTTTCAGCTTTTCAGTTTGACTGATGGAAAAAAAATTAAATTGAATTCTCTGCCTGGAGGCTGATTCAGATGAACAGAAAAAGCAAGTTCCAATTCATTTAGGGCCTTGGGTGAGCTACGTTGTCTCTCAGTCTACAGTAAGTTGCTGAGCCTGAAATATATTTTTATTCTACCATGAGCTAAATCTTTGCAGACTCTACATACATACATTTCTTAATCTTTTCCATTTAATCATTCCTTCACTCACTCGTTCATTCATTCACTCACTAGAAGCGAGTTAAACCACCACTGCGCCCTAGGCACTGCACGAAAGTGCTAGAGTTACAAAGGCTGGAAACTCCACGGTCAGGGGCACACAGAGATGCACACAATGACACCCTCGTGTGATTATGAACAGCAGGGACATCTGCAAAAGTAAGACTGGGTAATCAGTATTTTCTCCTTTCAGTCACCTAGGCTTTTAATATTACCGTGAACGTGTATTGTTTTTGTAATTAAAATATTAAAGCTTTAACCTCTAAATGGAAATGAGACAGAGTGAGCACTCCATGGTAAGTTTCAGATGGCTATTTAATGGGATGAAAGTCACTTGCTAGACTGTTCATTTAAAATATATTACATATATATTGACATCAATTTTACTTATATTGAAAGACTTGAAGCAGATTAGAAGAAACTATGCCCAAACAATAACAATATTTATTTCTGAATTATAAGATTAAGGATAATTTATACATTTTCAGATTTTTCACAGCGTATGTGTATTATATTTTGTTACAGCTTGTACTAGATGTCTCCCCAAAGCCTCATGCACTCACAGGTGGGGCCCATCGGAGCTGGCTGGATCTAGGGGGGTGTGGTATTCAGTCAATCCACTGACTGGAATTAGCACAGTTCTGGGCATGGCTGAAAGGATTTACTGAAAACAGAAAACCCACTGTGGGTGTGGATGGCACCACCCGAAAAGCTTGGAGCCTGCATGGAATAACAAAGACAGAAAGAAGTTAGGCTTGCTGCTGCCGCTGCTGCCACTGCTGCTGCTTTGGTGCACCGTGCCTACTCCATTTCTCTTCTGCTGCACCCCTGTGCCACGCCACCCTGCCCTGCAGCCAGCTGACTAGGGACTGGAACATACAGAACGTGAGCCCAAATGAGCCTTTCCTCCTTTAACTGTGAGCACTGACTATTTTGTGCCAGCAGCAAGAAAAGTAACCAAGACGGATTCCCATAGTAACGTAAAGCTACACTTTATTCTACTTACATTTTTTATAGTCAGTTTCTTAGAGTAATGTATATACCACTGTATTTATCTTTCAAAGTAACTCTTAAAATGCCCAGAATTAAAACTCCAATTTTCTCATGAAGTAGCTGGAATTCGTTATAGCAATATGGGATTTTCCACAGGACAATATTTCACAGAAATCATCACGGATGGTGGTGTGTGCTTCCTTGGACAGGCAATATGTCAACTCACAGGATGCCGATACAGCCCGGCACGGCTTCAACCCAGTGCCTGTTATGCAACATTAAAATACAATATGTTTTCCAAACAATA